TGAATAAACTATAAACATTTCCATAATACATACTTGGCTTTTTATGGAGCTTTCTTATAGAGGTCATAAACCAAAGAGCCCAGTGTGAACTCTGAAGAGTTTAAATCTAGCGTTAGAACTCCCCCAAAGAAAAAAAAACAAACAACTTTTCAAGAAATACTCTCCTCTCTGGATAGACATTTAGTGCTAGAATTGGGACTTATATCCTGGATTATTTGGTCATGCTTTTTCTTACTTTTGCTATCCAGTGAGGCCCCTTTATGCTGAGACTTGTTTTTCTTCCTAAAAGCATAATTGTAAGATTTTCCTAGGATTAATAACATGTAGTAATATATTAATGCAATTAATATAATAATAATGAAATATATAAATAATAATGAAATTTAAATGCAGTTTCTATTCAGATTAATCTTTTTGAATGAACAGAAGTCAGACAACTGACAGTTAAATCAAGGTGCTCATTAGTTGGCAAACGACGGACATCATGAAATATCACTATATCAATTTATAGCTAATTTTAAACAATTCTCTCTCCATTTCAAGATCTTAAGGAATGTTCTGTCTGGAAGGGTGTCTTGAATGAAACCTCTCCTCAACAACGACAGATGTGGAGGAAGAGAAAAAGTGTTACAAAATTTTGAAAATGCAATATAACAATATTAATAGTTTTCAGGAATGTGAACTTCCCCAAACTAAAATTTTCATCAAATTATCCCTATTTCAAATTTCAAACTGCTTCTTTGCTATTGCCACATGGAGGCACCACTTTAGCTGGTAAAGAGAGACTTCCACCATCTATTGTCAGCTTTGGTCTTCAATTGTGTGAAGTCTTCAAAAACATGTCTATCATAAAACACACCGGCCCTGTTTGGACTGCCAGAATAGTAAGTTTGTTTGTTTGTTTACTTGCCCATATACCTTTTCTAGTACAGTGTATTTTCATAGTCTCCTTATCCAGTACAGTTTTAGTTTTGAACTGAATTTTTTTTCTTGTTTTTCATGGAAAAGATTAAAAATCCCGGGAAAGGATAAAAAGGATGGCAACTATGTTTCTGAATTTCTTTCACAGAATTTGAGAGCTGGAAGAGACCTCCAAGGTTACCTCAGTTCCTTGACATTAACACACCGAAAAATTGAGTCCATTAAGTAAGTGGGTGAGGATAATGTAAGGAGGCAGAGCAGGATCTAGCTCTTTCTTCTGAGCCAACCTGTGTTTGGATATGAAGTGCTAATCACACTTGAACGAACTGAGTACACAAGGACGTTCAAGTAGTGCTTGTATTCACAAACCAATGTGCAAAGAAAAAAAGAAGCAGTTCAAGTGAAAATAGTGAAAAGACTCTGGAATCAGCACATTCATGGATGATAGTTCATTTTGATTATTTACAGGACCAAGGTGGAGATTAATTATAATCAACTTATTTGGCCTCATGAATATTAAACATGCAGATTGTATTCACTTTTACAAGTCCCTCAATCAAATCAAATTAAATTATTTTAATGACATTTATTCATTAGAGAAAATAATCATAAAATTCTCCTACCAAATAAACGTTTGTAACAGAAGGATCAGGCACCTGGCTTATTTCGTGGTTTAGAGCACTGCATGGTTCCAGCTTTGGAGAAGTCAAGCCTTTCTCTAATCCAGTGAATTACAACACTGAAGGCAACTTTAAATGGAATATTAGTGAATAATTTCTTTAATGTTTTTGTTAGATACACTATCTGAAATTCTGTATCTCCCCCCCTTTTTGGGGGTTTAACATTAGGATGAACATTTTCTAGGAAAATAATATTAAAATTTTATTTGACCCAAGTGCTTGCTTCTCAGGGAAAGGGGGCTATATATTTTTGGAAACTGAAAAAAGAAAAACTCACTGGGAACCTTTGTAATATTGATAGGAGAATAAGAAATATTTCCCTACTTGACCATGATACTGAGTTTATTGGGTAAAGTTGCATTTAAGGGGAATCAATAAGCTAATGTTGTGTCCACTTTATGTTAATAAACTTGTGTCTGCTCCATTTGGGTCTCAAAAACAATCCACTTACTAATTTAATTAGTCAGTAGAATCTTTACTAATTGGTAAATATTATTTAATTCTGAAATATTTGAGCAATGCCTTGTAGTAATTTTCAGAAGCACATAAACATATTGATAAGATATAAAGAACTGAAAAAGCCTTTGTTGACTCTTGAATAATATAATTTTATACGGAAAAGGTCTTAAAGATCCCTTAGTGGGTAACTTCATTTAACCAGTGTGGTTCCCAGACCCTTGGAAGCGTTTGCAGACACCCCTGATAACCAAATGCATCGAATCTATGATTCTTAGATCAGTAATCCTGAATTACCCAATTAAAGCTCTGAAGTCATAGAAGACTGGTGATCTCCCAAGGATCTCAGGGCTCCTTTGGCTTGCCACAGTGTATTTCCTAATTCTGTGAAAACAATCTAATGAGCCCTAATTACTCAATTCCTAAAATGCATACAGCCAGATACATATGGACAGCAAGAGCACAGACATTTAAAAACAGAGAAGAAAAAAGTAACTTGAACAGAATGTGGCATTTCCCTTGGTCTGTTGCTAACGGCCCACATACAACATGCTTAAAAAAACCCACCCTGGCACTTATTTTCATCATCACTTAAAAATGATTCAAATGGACATTTAGAATGTGTGGTATTGAGCATGTATCCCATCTGGGGATAAAGGGAAGAGCGCTTCCTCAAGCAGCGCTGTGCTTTCTGTGGTTAGCAGGCTAAAGTTGATGAGTATTTGGTCTCTTCTTATTGGCCATGCTTCTGAAGCCAAACACGATATTTTAATTGGACCTTTTCAGTACTCCAAAGCCAGTAGCAGTCAACATTTGTTTTTGTAAGGAGAATTATGATAGACATGACTTTTTAAATGCCATCAAGATTTAAAGAGGTGAAAGAAATGTAAACACAAATTACTGCATTTTCTTTATATTTGCATTTTATTTTTGACTCTGATGCCAATCACACTTTGTTAAAAATTAGCTGTCACCTTTGGGGTGGCTATTTTCTGAATGTTGTTCATTAGAGTTCTTCACACAAATTTTGAGGGTTGGGTATCCCGTGTACTCATGACTACTCTTTACTATAATTCAATCTCCAATAAACTCAGAGAAGAGTCCATAGCCAGCCATCCGGCTTAAACCTGTTTTGATGATTCCTGCTGTCACCAAACACTTTCTATTGGTAATAGTTTTTTTTTTTTTTTTAAAAAAAACAAAGTTTAAACAATTTTCATGATAACACCAGAAAGCTTCAAAAAAGTAATTGTGATTAGGACATAAAAAATTGACCAATCAGAATGTATTTGTTTATTGTTTTGCTAAGTCCAAAGTCATGGGGCTCGTATTCCCAGTTTTTATCAGATTTTTTTTTTGGGGGGGGGGGAGGGAGGGTTCCTGAGTGTAAACATTGTATTTTAATCATTTTTCCATTCTACAAATAGAAATTATCCTATAGGGAATATGTCTCTTTGGTCTTTACTTCCAGAGGATTTTAGAGCTTCATTGGTAGCCATTATTTAGTACTGCACACCTGGACACATCACACAGTATAATATATGTAGCCAGGCTTTGGAGAATTTATTTCAATTTACATACAATCCTCCAAATCCTCTGGTGAGCTTGATGTGAAATCTTACACTGCCGAGTCTCCCCAGCAGGATCTTCTTTGCTCTTGATGTTAATAGCCAAAGGCTCCAAAGGTCCCTCTGGGGAGCCGCAGTAGGGCTAAGGAGTCAGGAAGAGGGGTGACTGCGGGGCTTGTTGCGCTGAAGATTTACAATGTACTTCTTGCAGGCGGCTCAGCAACCCCCTCTGTGGCAGTGGGTGTCTGGTGTGACAGAGCGGAGAAAAGCTCTCTAATCTCCCAGTGCCTGCCTCTGCCGCTCAACCGCTCCCCTCCCTCCCGCCTTCCCTGCCTCCTCGCGCTCTCTCCTTCGCCTTTCTCTGGGAGTTTCAGTCCCTGAATGCAGCTCGAGTAGCCCTGGTAATCTAGACCCGGAGCCTGTGTACACACGCACACACGCGCACACACATGCACACGCGCTCGCACACACGCACTTCGGCACTTCCCCCGGGGATATGGAGCAAACCTTCATCTACCTGAAGTGGATGGCCTGGCCGGACACTTCTTCCTCACTTGTCATCTCCGGAGAGCAGAGCGACATCGGAACCAGGGAGATTGGCTGTCCGGTCTGCAACCTCACGCCGTTTGCCGCCGCGGCTGCTTAAAGTGTCCAGGGTGGAGGAGAAGGCTTCTCCAGGGCAGATCCCCGGCAGAGCTACGCGGCCCTGGGACTTCCTCCGGCTGGTTCACTCCAGTCTTTCCCTCCATCACTCTCGGCCATCCTCTCCTCTCCTCTCGGGCTGCAGGGTGTATGGCTTGGGTGCCTCTCTTGCTGCTGCAGCCTCCACTGCCACTGCGAGCACATCCCACCCAGGGGACTGAACGCCGCCGCTGGAGTGGGGGGAGAAAGCGGAAGCCCTAACTTCCCTCCCTACACCCTCGCTCTCCCCAGCGCTCCCCGTTCTCCAGCCGAGGGCCGGTTGGAGAGCTCCCGCGGAAAACTGGGCGAGAGCGCGGCGCAGGGGAGGAGTGCTGGGAACCGCAGGCGCACAGGGGCGGGGGCAGCATGTGCCCAGGCGCCGGGTGATCGCCCGAGAAGTAGCGCGCGCTGGGTGAGAAAGACGCTTTCCAAGTTGGGCGCGTCTCAGAGCTCGTCGCCCCGCGCCTCGGCCGCTGGTGTCCGAAGAGAGGCGGGGCTGATGGGGGACGCTGAGGCTGCCGTCGCCTGCGGCCAGAGCCCGTCTTAAAAGAACCCCGGCCAGCATCCCCAGGGTCCCAGCCGGCGTCGCGCCCGCGGTCGGGGTGCGCTCTCTGATGACTGCACTGGCGGTGGCCCGGGTGGCCCGCCCGCGGGGGGTGCTGGAGGGGGCGGGGGAAGAGGAGGAGGCGGTGTGATGGCCCTGGACGGCGAGCGGGGGGAGCAAGAGGAGGAGAAGAAAAAGAAGAAGAAGAAAAAGAAGAGGAAGAAGAAGAAGGAGGAGGAGGGGGCCAAGAAGAGCAGCTCACCCTTCGCAGCCACCATGGGAGAAGACGACAGCGCGCTCCGGGCAGGCAACAGAGGGCTCTCGGACCCGTGGGCTGACTCGGTGGGAGTGCGACCCCGCACCACCGAGCGCCACATCGCGGTGCACAAGCGGCTCGTGCTGGCTTTTGCGGTGTCCATAGTGGCACTACTCGCGGTCACTATGCTTGCGGTGCTCCTCAGCCTGCGCTTCGAGGAGTGTGGGGCAAGCGCCGCGCCAGGTGCCGACGGTGGCCCCGCGGGCTTCCCCGAGCGCGGTGGCAACGCTAGCCTCCCGGGATCAGCCCGGCGCAACCACCAAGCGGGCGGGGACTCCTCGCAGCCGGAGACCGGCGGGGTGGGCATCCCGGGAACCCCTTCTGCCCAGCCGCCGTCGGAGGAGGAGCGGGAGCAGTGGCAGCCTTGGACACAGTTGCGCCTATCGGGCCATCTCAAGCCGCTGCACTACAATTTGATGCTCACCGCCTTCATGGAGAACTTCACCTTCTCCGGGGAGGTCAACGTGGAGATCGCGTGCCGGAACGCCACCCGCTACGTCGTGTTGCACGCTTCCCGAGTGGCGGTGGAGAAGGTGCAAATAGCCGAGGACCGGGCTGGCGGGGCTGTCCCGGTGGCGGGCTTTTTTCTCTACCCTCAAACCCAGGTCTTGGTGGTGGTGCTGAATAGGACCCTGGACGCGCAGAGGAATTACAACCTAAAGATTATCTACAACGCCTTGATAGAGAACGAGCTTCTGGGCTTCTTCCGCAGCTCCTACGTGCTCCACGGGGAGAGAAGGTACGGAGGGAGGCGGTGCCCCGCGCTGCCCCACCCCGCCAGGCGGCTCAAACCGCTGGGCGGCCGGCGACTACAGGCACCTGGCTGGCTTCCCAAACCCAGGAAACCAGGGGTGGGGGAAGGAAGAGAAGGCGAGGTAGGACTGTCACCCAGAACCTTGGGAATCTCCTGATACCTGGTCTCTCACTGCTGCCCACCCCATAAACTTGCTTGTATCTAAAAATTAATGCCCCCTCTAGCCGGGACCTTCCCTCTTCAGGTCAAAGTTATTTAGCCAGCTGGGCGTGCGTCTTTTTCTAAAGGGTAGTTTGTAACTGAGCGATGCCAGAGTGACATCAAAACCTTGCCAAGTTACTGTCAGAGAAAATACTGAGCTCCAAAGACTCAGCGATAGCACAATCCCCTCTTAACACGCCCACCTCCCCTGACTGTTAATCCCAGGGCAGGCAGAGAGAAGAGATAGGCTTTGGCTACATAAAGTTTTCCAAAATGGCATTAAAGAATCAGAGCGGCAAGAGCCATTCCCAGGGACCTACTGAGGGGGCGGGGGTAGGGGAGAAGTTGCAGTGGCCAAAATCAGAGAGTAGTGACCTCTCAGCACTGAGAACTCTCCAGTTATGCTGGGCAACTCCTGTCTTTTTGAGTCGCTGCCTCTGGAAACAACTACAATGAAGGAAGGGAACATTGGTGGGTCAGTCTCAAATGCCTTGTTAGTGAGTGCCTTTGCTGTAGTTTAGATTTGGGCAGTATTCTTTTTTTTTTTTTTTTTTTTTTTTTAATTTTTGAAAGGCTGAGGTGCTTTTCTTCACTTGTTTAGAGCTCTCTAATTTCCAAGTCAACAGAACTGGGTTTCAATCTTCACAGTCTAGCTGTGGTGAAGAGTTGAGGAAAGTATTTAACTCACCAATTGCCAATGACTGGGTACCTCTAGAGCTTATTACCCATGGTTTGTGAACTCAATCCTGCTAGGACTCTATGGGATAGATGCAGTTAGAGCACTACTTATGTTACAGGTGGGAAATGGAGGCACAGAAAAGTCCCAAAACTCACTCAGATTACAGAGCTCCTAACAAAGCAGCGATTTAGAGCCAGATGGTTTGGATTCAGAGTCCTTATCATTAATTCTTATTTGGGAATAACAACAACAACAACCCTCCTTATGTGGGACTGGTGCAGATATCAATGAGCCAATGCTTTGAAAAGTGCTTAGCCCTGTGCCTGGGATATAGCGTGAATGATGTGCTATTGCTCCTGTTGAATAAGTGATTCTTGCTTTTTTTTTTCTCTAAACCACTGCATTTAAAATAACTTGCATTAATTGACTGTAGGGCAGATGAGCAACTCAAGTGAACTTAAAATGAAATCATCAGCTTCAGAGGCAGGGGAAGTTTGGCATTAGTAATTAATGGGGCAGAGCTTCTCCAGAGGATCTCAGGTGAGTCTCACAACTGCAGGAAACTAGAGCTCAGAGCAGCCCAGGGCACCCTGAGGTCATCAGGCTTATTGTTAGAGAGCTAGGACTTGAATTTTGGTTTTCTGAGTCTTGGACCAGGCTCATAGTATTTGGAAACTCAGAAGTTATTGTGTAGAAGCTGGGAAAATTTCAGTGTGTAATGGAAGTACACAAAAGTTTTGTTATTTATATGGTGTTATAAAGTAACCTCATATAATGAATAAAATACCCAGTGCTTTAGTAGTTCACCTAAAAGTGTAAGCACAAATTATTAAGTATAAATTATTCACTATCTAACTTCTAAGATCAGATATGGATAATTTAGATCCCCTTCCACCACTTCCTTCAGCATGTTCTAAAGAATACAGATTAAAAGTATTTCTAAACTCATGATTATATCAAATATGTGGGAAAGGGATAGAAGGCAAATTTGCCTGTTATGTTTAGAAACAAGCCTGTCATGTCAAAATGTCAATAGTGAGACATTGCATTTAATTACTGAAATATCTTGCTGTGGTGAAATAAATACTCCCCCAAATCCTTATTTTTTTGAGCCATGCCATGCCAAAATATATTTGGCAGAACTGAGCTTGATTTGGTCAGTGCTTTCAAATTAAGAGGACTCTTGAAAATACCAGATGTTTCAGCTTGACCCGTAACTGATTTCTTGAACCCCTAGTGCATGTTTGTATACAAACTCTCTTTTTGAGTTTTCCCCAAAGATGAAAATAACTTGGTTGTAAGTTTAGCATAATGCATGTGTGGCTAAACTCTGCATCCCAGTAAAAATGCAGGATAGGATTCAATGTTTGGGAGATCCCAGGATGATTTTATTTCTAACCAGCATCTTAGAGATAAGGTTTTGCACCACTTTCCCCCTCCACTTCAATACCAGAATGAATCTGATAATTTCTTGGCTGTTTCTACTAGAGTTGATAAAGCAAGAGAAATCTAATAAACCATTTCACAATTATGTCAACATTCCATATATTAAACTTTTGTTATTGTTGCTATGGATACTTGGAGCAGTTTTAAGCAGAGGAATATCAGGAACTCAGCCAGAGCTGGACTGTTATTGGTGGTGATTTTGACCTCAAAATGCAATGTAAATTGGCATTTTAAAACCAACTTTCTAGAAACCAACTTTCTAAAAGGACACAGATGCAAACTGTGAATTTTCATTTGATTAATGACTGAATATCTTGATCTTTAGACATTTTTGCCAATTTAATTATAGGATAATTTCTGTAACAAAAACAAATATTTAATTTGCCAAAGGGAGCGTTGAGCAACTTGAAAGACTTTAAAGTGCAATATTACAACTCAGTCCACTTCACTTTGCCTCTGTGGAGATAATAACTCATTGATATCCTATCAGTTTTATTGTTCATGTTACTTCTCAAAGATCGGGGAGAATTTTGGTGAGGGAGGAAGGTTAGACCCTCTTGTGTACTATGTACCTTTGACCTGTGGAAGGTTTTATCCCCTACCAGATGTTAGAGGCACCTGATTCTTCAAAGGTTAGAAGACAAGCTTTCCACTGAACCCCAAGATCCCCCAACTTCAGGCAAATCCTCCACTCATTCAGCTAAGATGTAAAATTTGTCACTTGTTGAATATTGAAAATGAATAAATTCTCTTAAGATTGAAATATTTACACACAAGCAATAAATTGTCTTCATTAGGCAGAACACATATCCAGTTTTTTCTCAAGTAGGTATGCTCAGGCAGATAGAAGGGGCTGTATATTTATGCCATAGCCTCTTATAGGAGAATAAGCTTGCTTAGAATTAGGCAGTATGTTCATTTACCTGAAGTAATTGTCGCTTGTGGGTAACCAGATGGTGAGCACACCCATGTTCAAAGTAGGGTACCTTAATTTAGATCCAGATGGTCGGATTGAAAGAGAAAATTTACCCAAAGTAAATGAACATTTTATTCACTTTCAAACGGGAGACTGTTTTTCTTTGACAAACTTTGATTGGGTCTCTAACATGCCAAAATGAGAGAAGTCAGAATAAAAATAGATGTTCTTTTTCTATAAACAAGTGTTTAGAGAGAAACCATGATCTCTTGAGTAAAATGGAAGAATAATAATTGTGGTTCTCAAAGAGACTTGGGACCACCGTTTTGCCAAAATTCTTGTGGCAAAGCACTCTGGGTAGATACTTGGCTCTTTTGTGATATTAGTGTGGATGGTTTGATGCTTTGTGGTTTTTCTGGAATGAATTAATATTATGATATATAATAAAAGCAAGAGAATCACCACATGATTTTGATGTTCAGAGCAGCCTCATTTTTCCCATTCACTTTGGCAAGCAGATAGTTTTACAAGAGCAAGTGGGAGGGTGACGCTCTTTGCCCTTCTGTAGAGGGCTGTGAACTGAAAAATCTTGAGAACCATTTGTTTCTGCGAAAAAGGTTTTATGTGATTCCTTGATGGATTTAGGTCATTGTTTTCCTGTCAGGCACACACAACCGTGTGGCTAAACTGAGTCCTGAGCTGGATTTTGGTAGCAATTCAAAAGGCCACCAAGAAACCAAATCTCATATATATACATATATGTATGTATGTATATGAATGTATATGTGTGTGTGTGTGTTACACACACACATATTTCATAAAAGCTTTGATCCTTTAAATCATGACTCACTCAGGGAGGAGAATTCATACAATTGGTACAACTGGTATTTTTTTAATATGTTTTTGTGTATTATCATCTGATTTGATCACCCTGGATAGTAATACAACATAAAGCCTCTCTGAAAGAGTTAAATGAGTTTGCTGTGCTTTTATTTCTTCAGTGCAACCAGATCCTATTTGCTCTGGATCTCTTTCAAAAAAAGATGGGCATGATGCTGGCTTTCCCAGCATTTGTTTGGTTTGTGGTTCACACAACGTATTTGTTTAAACTCATTCTTGCCACTCTATAAGTGGGCAGACCTGAGACAGTGGAGCAGGGACGTGGTCTTCTTGAGGGTGGTCAATCTGAGTGTAAAAGTAAGGACTTATCTCTTCAAGAATGACTTCCAAGAGTGATAAAAAAAAAACCAGCAAGAAAGAAACAATTTACCTTTAAAATACACTTTATAGTCCGTAAGGAAGGGCATCTCCTTTACTCCCATGTTCATGCTCCACCCTGAAGCAATGATAATAATCACCATTACCACCATTGTCATCGTCATCATCATATGACACTATTATCATTGTTCTCTTAATTCTTTGCTTGCTCTTTACATCCTTCCAAATCTGTGATAGTGGTCAGGCTTCCCCAGAGATTTTCAAAGTCCTATGCCATCCTACCTAGAGAGGAGAGGCTGTCTCTCAAAGTTAGAATTTTGTTAGGTGGAATTTGGGAAAATTCAAATATGAAAAATACTCCCGCTCTTCCACTTTCCTGGACAATATGAGATGATTCTCAACAGGCGCAGCTGAATGGTGGCAGTGGGGCTATGGGGGTGAATACGAGTGTGTGTTTCTTGGAGCTGAGTAGGTTGAAGGGCCTCCAGTCGTCTGAATGCCCAGGTGGGCCTGACCTTTAAGGAT